GCCACTGTACTCCAGCCTGAGCGACAGAGTGAGACTCTGTTTACAAATAAATAAATAAATGGTAGAAACAGTTCATCCCTCCCACCAGCAGTGAATGAGAGCCCTGGTTGTCCCTTGCCCTCACCTGCATCGGTGTTGCTGTCGTTTGAGTTACAGCTGTCCTGGTGGGATGCCGAGGTATTCCATTGTGCTGTCAGTTTGCAGTTGCCCTTGTCTGTGCTTCCCCAGCCCTCTGAATCACCTGAATGGCCATTCATCAACGAAACGTAATATTCACATGCTTCTGTGTGGTATGAAGTGTCCCCAGCATCTGTCTTAACTGGCTGAAAGATCCCCTAAGCTCTGTCCCTTCCCTGTCCTTTTCCTCACAGGTGGTTTTTCCCCATCATTGGCCACATGGGCATCTGCACATCCACAGGAGTCATTCGGGACTTCGCAGGCCCCTACTTTGTCTCGGTGAGTCCCCATTCTGCCCACCCTGGGGGGTCCAAGGTTTAAGTGGAAGGCTGTCCTGTCTTGCCTGCAGGCTTCCTGTCTCCCCAGACCCAGGAGAACACAGATAACCCGCAGTCCTGGCCCTGGCCCTGTACCCCTCACCAGTGTTTGACCCCTTTCCCCCTTCTCTTGCCTCCAGGACAGGCCGGGAGGGCAGTGTGGCCAGAAGGATTCTTAAGTAACTGACCCAGCCCTTTGCCCCCACCCCTGGGGTACCGAGACATGGGTAGGGATTAGAGGCAAGAGTGGAGAGTCAGACCATCCAGGAACCACATCTCTGGACCTTCAGAAGGTGGGAGTCAAGGTGGGGGGACAGGGGAGGCTGATACGGTTCCCTGGGTGTGGTCATGGAGAAGAGGGGGTGGGGCTTTAGAATGAACCAGCTGTGTTCTCAGGTCTGTTCCCTGGGGATGTGACCGAGACTGGTCCAGTGGGCCAGCAGCAGAGAAGCATGCATCATCCTGTCTCCAGGTGTCAGAGACTGGACTGAAGGGGTGTGGTGGCACCAACCTATTTATATTAATAGTTGTCATGATCATCTTAACACGACAAAGGTCTG